CCTTCCTCCTCTCTCTCTCTCTCTCTACCTTTTCTCCCCATCGCTCTCGATAGTCCCAACAATCGTGGCGCAAGCTTCGTGGCCCACTCGAATCTTCGACGAGTGAAGACCCCTGCGAAGCCTCTGGCCAACATATGTTTTCGGCTGCTCTTCCGCGCTTTATCCAAAGCGTAACGTCGATGATCGTCGATGATAACTAGCCACCGATGGAGAAAAAAAAAAAAAGGGAGCGAGAATATTTTCTCCCCCTGAGAATATTTTTAAACGATATTTTCGTGCGCGATGGTATGTGGCCCGTTCGAGGAAGGGACTTTGTTTCGAAATCGTGTTTGTAGAGCTGTTCAGAGGTAGGTCTATACACAAGTAGGTCTCCCTTCGTTTTGACATCTCGATTTTCTCCTAAGTATCTTTACCAGCAATTACAACTCGATATTCTACTAGTTTGTTCCTTCGATCTGAATTTTCGAAAGAACATAAAATTTATCGAAAACACGGCCGTAGCGTGAAGTAAAATGAAAACAAAAGGGGAATAAATTTCTGTTTTTCGCGGAACTGTATCGGAACAAGTTTCGTCATTTTTCATTCGGTGTAACAAGCGCCGGTTACCCTTAAAGTTGGCGCAAACTTTTCGCAAACACGTTGTTGTATAATGCAGAGAGAGAGAGAGAGAGAGAGAGAGAGAGCGCGAGGGGCTGGTTATTTAAGTTGTTGGAAAGAATCTGAACACTTTGTATGAACTTGGCGTTGTTCGCATATCTATGTTAAATAGATGCCAGGGAACAGATAACCGTACGAAGAAGACGAATTTCAAAGAGTCCTCGGCGACCAATATTTCCCCTTACGGTTGCGCCAACTTGCCTACTTAACCTCCGCTCGAACGCCGATTCCCCTCTCTCTCTCTCTCTCTCTTTGGCCAAGTTCGCGTTCCTCGCATATCCATGCTAAATAGGCGGCATTGTACTACCGACTTACCGCCACCAACAAGACAAATTTTGAGGAAACCTCGTTCCGCGATACTCTCCCGCAAACCGAGTCAGCTATTTCAACCCGTCATCGTTTTCAATTCACGCGCGCGTTTTTCGCGTATCTATGCTAATTACCCGCCTGCGAATAGATCCGCCGCGCCGACTTTACGCCAGATTCTCGTCCCTCGAAATTCCATCGATTCGAATTCGATTTCTTCGATTCATCGCACGAACTCGGCTGAGAAAATCGAGACAATTTTTCGATTCTATTCTCAGGGGGATATATTCTTCCCCCGAGAAGAAGAAATTTTTCAAGCAAGTATCGCATCCAATAACGAAATATCGCTAACAAGCTGGCCAGCTCCGATCCGCAAAGTAACGTAATCAAGAGCGAGGAGGGAAGGGAGAAAAATAAGCGCACCGTGAATTTCACGGAGTCCCGTGTAACGAAGGCAATTACTCGGGGAGGGGGGGGGGGGCAAGCGCGTTCACGATCGAAGGTCGTTACCGCGTCGAGTCTTCGAGCTCGATACTCGCCGTAATCCACGTCGAAGCGGTTGACGAGAGGCGAAATTTACTTAACCGCCTTCTTCTTTTCCTCTCCCCTCTCCTCCTCCTCCTCTTCTTCTTCTTCCTTCTCCTCCTCCTCTCTTCCCCTCGCAGAGACGTTGGCTTCGTGGTAACCGCTGCGAGCAAATAGGTTAATGCAACGACCTCGTGCAAAACTAATTTTTCCCCCGATCTCTAAGATCCACCTCCTACTCGTATCCCGAGTCGTTAATCCCCCGTGCTAATTAATTAACCGGCCGAGTCCCTTGAAACGTCCTCCATTTTTCCCGCCGACGATCCGGTGACGCGCGGATAAGATCGAGAAAGATCTGCTCCGAGATCTTTGTTGCGTTCGAGTTCGTTTGTTATTATAACGTCAGTGAATAAATCAGGGGCCGGGATTCGAGCGATTGGAAATGAGTTTCAGAAATCTTGCTTCTCCGAATAACACACTTTCACGATCCCATAATTGTAATTATATACAGTTGCTTGTTCGAAATCTCGTATATCATCCTCCCGGGCTATCCACGCCTCGATTCGCATTCTTGCTTCGAGATGCTTCGCGCGAAGACAGTTGACTCTGCTCGATTCTGCACACAGAGACGGATCGAGGTCTTTAATTTTAACGAGGATCGGATTAAGATTATAAGGAAGGAATCTCGCGTTTGGATACCAAATCCTCCCTCCCCCCTAATTCGATGTCTTGGTTGCCTTCTCCAACGGATTAATCGAAACCGATGTACCGATTCGCAAACATCGAATCGAGTAATCCTATTTACTCTCTCTCTCTCTCTCTTCCCGTGAACATGGCTCGAGAAAACGTGGTTCGATCGATCCCACCATCCGGTTTCCACCGTCGAAATAATCGGGATAATCAATCGGCAGAGTTGGACCGTTTCTACGAGGATCGAGGGAGCACGAAGGGAAAAACGAGCGCGGTCCCGTAATTTCGAGTTAACTAGCACTTTGTTCAACTGTGCGGCTAGGGAACTCGTTTCTGTAGCTGGGATATATACTTCACGACCGGTGAATCTCGCTCGCGCGAAATCAATATGCCAAGGTTTCGTCGGTCGAAACTTTGAATCGGACCGATTCGACGTGCGTTATGCAGGATATTTAAACAAGACAAGTTGGATTCCCCTTTAACCATCGCCAGAGATTTGTATAAATTTGAGAATCAATTAATCGAAGGAAGCGTATCGATAGATGGATGGAACTATGATTTTCGAACTGTTATTTCAAGGTATTTCGATGCGATGAGAATTAAAGTCAATTCGATATCGAAACAGGAGACGATTATTCTCTTCTTTTTTTAAATACTTAATTTTCGAACTTCTCTGAACGTGTATCCACATGTGTATGCGGATATTATTTATACAAGTAGTTCAAATCTATTTGAAATGGAAAATTATAAGAAATAATTCGTATCTGGATGAAATAATTAAGCTCGGTTTAAAATTTAAAACGATAAGGAATTATCTGTGAATACTGTGGTAAAGTAAATTAGACGCGTGTGAGATATCGTATCTGTGAGATTAGACGAGGCTGGCCGTGGAATTAATTTAGAATTCGTGGAAAACAATCACGAACGAAGGTTAACCTGCGATTCGAGCGAATTTAAAATTGATGCCAGGGATTCGTTGAAACGATTCATTGCCAGACACCTATTCGACCTTACGTTTAATAATCCCAACAATTTCTGCGTCGTTACCCACTTTGCCGCTGCAATTGCGCAAGCGGATCAGACGGATACCACCATCATCCTACGTGATTCGTCAGGTATTACGTCAACGTAGAAAATGTCGATGAAGCAGCGTCGTCGATGCGTGGAATCGAAGCGAACAACACCGGCCTCGTACGTGGAGATCTTCGAATTTTTCGCCCAAATCAATGAATTCTTCCAACTTTAAAGATTCGAGCGAGTAAAATTTTAATTATTAATTATTTTATATTTTTCGTATATCTATTTATTAATGTATCCCAAAAATCTCGTCCTAATTGCATCAATATAACAGTTGAAAAAAGTTCTAGGATCGCAGACAGAAAATTCGAATTCAATTCCTTTCTTTGAATACGCGTCGAACGATTGAAATCGTTGGGGAAAAATTAAAAAAGCGCGACGATTTCCATCGGTTGGAAAATTTATGTTACGTCGCACGTTACGTTAACGCTCCCTTTATACGCGCAGAGATATAATCGATTCGATGGCGAGACAGAGAGAGACAGAGAAAAATAATTCCTCTCGCGATGGATAAGGACGAGCCGTAGTATACAGCTAGCACCCCTCTCTCGGTATTATTCTCGCGCAACCCCAATTTTCTTCCCAATGCGCCCTCGCGCGTGGGGTGGCCGCAGATTTTCAATCTGCATTTCTCTTCCGCTTATCGCGCTCTCCCTCTCTCTCTTTCTCTCTCCGCTCTCTTCTCTCCATCCCTGAATTCTGATCAGGCGGTGATAGATCAGAGAACAACAATGTGTTGGAGACGGTAGAAAAGGAAAAAAAAATAGGAGGAGAACAGATATTACTTATAAAATTAAATACGAAAATCAAACAAAATATCCCATGTTTTCGATATTTCATCCTGTTTCTTGGGGGAGGATGGCGAATAAAAGGTTGGAGGGATAGCGTGAATTTCCGGCATAGACGGAAGGGGAGGCAAGCAACGGGTTTAAAAGTGTATTAACCGAATCTAATTTTCCACCAAAATGAAATTAGCCCGCGCGCCGCCGCGAGAAAATCACCCGTGAAACGCTTCCTCTCTCCCGTTCCTCTCTCCTGTTTCCCCGGGTTTCTCTAAATAAATTTAATACGCGTATTAAACGAGCCACTCGAAACCCTATTTCCGGGGGCCAATTGTTGTTCCCTCTTCCGAACGACGACGACGACGACGACCACGTTTCCATCTTCCCGTGGAAACAAGACGGAACGATTAGTTTGGAGTAATGAAACGATACCGTCTACCCAAAACGATATCATTTTATTCGTTCGGGCGGCGGGTTTCGTCGCGGACGAACAACCGATGGGAACGACGCCCGCAATGGCGGAAACTCTCTTCGAGAGATCCTATTCGCTCGCCTCTATATTGTTTCCGGCCTGTTGCATTCCCATTTCCAACTATGACTTCGACGTATCGAGAATATATCATAACGTTGTAACGTATCGATTTCTAAACGTTGGTTAAATTCACCGCAAAATCCAGAGATATTTTTATTTCTTTTTTCTTTTTTTTTTTAATTTCGAACGCGTCTTCAATTTTCAGAATCCAAAGAGGAAAAAAAAAAATCGAAAAGAAAGAAACGGTAGCCCGACAACTAAATCGGACCGGATCGTCCAACCTACCCTCACCCTCCGTTCGATCGTTTCAATTTCTCCCGTGGATCGAGATATACGAACGGTGTTGATTTTATGCTCGATATCTCGGTTCAACCTGCTCGAAGATAGCCTTTATCCGTGCAATTAGATCTCACCGATGGGTCCATTAACCGGCCATGTTTCTCTCCGGTAACCGTTCGAACGGCCGCCCATTAATTCGCCAAGAGTTCTCTGATCCGGCAGGGTGACGTAATAGGTGAATCGCGGCCGCGTAGATACGCCTCTGTCTTATCGCGCATTTGCATATTTGCTCGGGCGCGAGCGTCGTCGCCCTCGACCGATCATTTTCTCAACGCGGCCAGGGGAC